AGTTTTCAAATACCGTGTTTTAAGGCATCTATTTTGTCGCCGGATCTCCGACAGCGCCTGTATATTGTAGGTTTGGCATCGACGCAGGACGCTCTGAAGCTTTTTAATGTTTGTTTTAAATGACTTTTCGTTGCCATTCCAAAACAATAGTGAAGGAAAAAAGACGGGAGCCCTGTCAGCCGCGCATGTCTCAAAAGGCTGTCAACCGCTGGTTCCTGGCGGTGACTCTCCTACGCAACCCATCTTTTATCAAGTACCACCGTCAAGGCCGCCATTTCACCACATCTGTTGTGACTCTTGAAGGCGTCAACTTTGACGTTCCAGTGTAAAACTTTGAGACAAATTCAGGAGGAATAACACCGTTCTTTCTTTATGGTTCACTTTTTCGGAGATTTGCTATAGCTTGGGGTAAAGGTCTCCCTCGTTTGTTACCACAGTATAATACAGTCTGTATCTGGGTGTTGTTGTTGTTGTTGTTGTCTTTGTATTTTAAATTTTTTTGAGTCAAAATGTTACTCCTTAATGAAAGCTACTTTAAATTATGGGCTAAACTTTATTAGACACGTAGATTGTGGTAGAGAAGTGAGCAAGGAAGCACACAGAGTACTTATTGAAAAGCAATTTAAAATTGTGGATTTTTATTGCTGGCTTCGGAAATGGGAATTATATTATCTGGCAAACATGGAGAGGCAAATGGTAACATTTGCAATTTAAGATGAGTTTTTTTGTAAATCTATTTCTCTGTAAACGATAATGGATTCTAAATATTGATTAATTTTCTTTTGTAAATTTGAATTTGATGGTTTTTTTGAGATATCAGGTATTGGAAAGAAATATATACAAAAAAGCACGCAGCTTACGTTAGGCTAAAAGCCAAGTGTATAGGAAGGGAAAAAAAGAGAAAAATAATAAATATATATTGCGGTTTGCTTAGGCGTTTTAAGCGGAAGTTTTTTATTTATTTATTTTTTGTTTTTGTTTGTGTTTTGTTGTTGTTGTTGTTGCTGGTTTTTTTTCCCCTTTAACTATAATGAAAGTAAGAAAAGCACCATACCGAATAATGTTGTGAATCAATGAAGTCCGTGATTAGAGGAAAGACTTGGGAAGGAAGGTGTGGGTTTGGAACTAAGGAACAAACAACCAGCGGCGAGAAAGAATACGTAGTTGATAGACAGCTGTGAGCATTAACCACACTAGTGTTTTGGCGAAGGCCGATTTCTTTCACACGTGCGAATATATACATATACAATTAGCGAACTCCAACATCGTGAAGACCTCTGATCTTTCTCGGAAAAAAACTTAGCGGAAGTGGAAAGGGGGCGGAAGTGAAAGATTGGATTGGTGGGACTACCGGCGAAACCGGATTTCATTCAATTTTGTTTCCTCGTTTTTATCCGCGCGGGGATCCCGGTCCAATTCCCGATGGCTCCCTGGTACAAATCTCTTCACCGGCATCCCGAGAGTGATCCCGATAGGTGTCCCGTGGGAATCTCGGCGGGAACTTGCGAAAATACCGGCGTAAACTCCAGA